CAAATAATTTATTATTATTATCAATACAAGCTTTTGCATTGTACCAGTCGTTTTCTAATTACCTGATTATTTTGAATACATTTCATAAAGACAGACTGACAAAAACATATGCTGTTCCTCTAAACAATTATATTAAAAAATATATATCGTGTTCCAGCTGAGTTGTGCCTTTTATCATAGCCCGCCACGGTTACAATCTCAGAGTATATGTATAGTATATATATCCCTTTCGTTTACGGACTGAATGCGACCGGGTAATACCTTGCTAACACTGCAATTAAGATTTTAGTCTTTTTTATTTTGAATATAGATAATAGTGTTTGTACTAAATAATAGAATAAATGATTTAAAAGCGAAAACTTAGTTGGAAAGTCGTACAGACATTTTGGGAGTGAGCCAGTGTAGTATAACTGGCTTCATTTGTCTGAATTGTTACGTTGTGATGTTGTTTATTATGATATTTGAAAAAAAATAACAACTTTAATGATCACTCAACTATGTGTAAAATAACTCCGAGTCAATGTCTTTCATTGTCGTTCATATGGAAAGTAATTGCAACGTGGCTTATGATGTTTGCGTCTACGGGTGAGTGTAGTTGCACACAGAATCAAAAGCTGTCAGAGCAACAGCACCCGTGAACTTAGGATAGTATCAATTTAATCAATTGGTTTATTGCTGAGCTCACGAGTTTTTGTCTGTTTATCATATGTTGAAGCCTTCAACTTTCTTCATTACACAGAATGCCGTATATATCAAATGAAATGTCCCTCCGATGATTATTGTATTCCCAGTTACAAAGTTTGTGATGGTGAATATGACTGTTCAGATGGTTATGATGAACTGAATTGTGAACAGGTATGTATATTAAAAAAATTAAAAAAAGATTGAAAATGCATACGATACGATAACACTTCAAAATAGACACGTTACGATAACATTTCGTACTCTAGTCAATCAATTTTCAAGAGTAGAAAATTGGACACAACTTACACTGGACGTGTTTCTTACGATGACATGTGACTTTATTTTTGCAGCACGAACGTAATATGTAATGGAGTAGAAGAGGCCGTGTAAACCGCCAGCTTGTCGTTTATGAAGCGTGCTGGGGAAAGATTAAAAAGAGGGATTTCTTGGTGATGGAATATTACTAAAAAAGACGGACATTGACAACATTGTGCCAGTTTAGATGCAATACCAATTTTAGTCATTTTTCTATTCTATACTATTTTCAGTATAATTATTTGTTTTCATTTAGTTGGTGGTGTATACAATTTGCTGGCTTACATGTAGTAAATTAGGGTGAATGTCATTGTAATAATACCTTTAACAGCATTTTTACTGATGACCACCTATGTTAGCAAACAATGTAACTTGTAAGTGAAATAAAATACGTATGTCTCTGTTGAAGACATATGTGAGCTTAGTTTACGTTACTTGGGTAAGCTTTTATTGACACTTATCGCATATTACTTCCCCTGTGCTAGAGAGAGACAGTATGTGGCTCAGGAATTTGAAATTGTGATGTCGCTTGAGACGTGAAATATGTTTACTGCTTCCACTGAGATAGATTTTATCAAGAGATTGAAATTACTACATTATTTTGCTAGATATGACACACATGAGGACGCTATACCTTACTCACCATCCAAGGACAAGCACATAGACATTACTATACAACGATAAATGTCAGTGTTAAACAACAAACGTAATGCAGGCTACGTCGTACAGTTACACATTGTCGTTAACTTGACTTGGTTATCGCCCCATTCGCCTTAGCATGAGCAATTGTACTTTGTTCAATCGGGCAATGCCATTAAATAATGCAGTGTTAGCTATCATACAAACAGATTAATATGCCTCTGGTTCAATGTCGATTTTGTCAAAATATCTACCTTTTGATCACACATTGCACTTGTACTTACATAAATTTGTACTCATACGCGCACAGTGAATAGTAGTATGTAAAAGTAAATATGTATTATGTGCACGCCACATAACGAAATGCAAAAATGTCAACCACAGTGATTTATTAAATTGCATTTCAAAGACACAAATTTCTAATTTGGTAGTTTATTAATTAGTTTCACGTAAATGTAAAATAAATACATACGTTGCATTTAAGTTTGTTCGACAAATTTATTTGTACGTGTATAATCATTATTTGGGTAAAAGTGTTATTATGTTGTAGTGTCGACACACAGACAAAATAATATTTTCTCCATAACAACGTAGGGTATTTTCATCGGATTTCGTAGTAGGAGTTATTGTAATCCCAATAGATGTTTATTGAAGTTGATAGATTATTCCTATAATTAGTTTGCTTCAATTGTAATTAGTATTTAATTATCATGATTTGATAAACGACCCACTTAGGTAAATGTAGCCCTGATACCGTTTTAAATTCTTGTTCAATTCCATGGAATGTACCAAACGAGGTGCGATACTGTTTAAAATGCATCATGGAGTACATGCTGAATTAAGGGGCATTAGCAGGGTTTTAAATAAAATGCCGGTTGATTTCTTTGTGGGATTATATGAAAATTTGCCAAATATAGATCCACTCTGCATAACTGACGTCATTATATGTTATCCATGACTGGAGAACGGAGTATCACATAATCGTTGGGTATTCTTGTGCTCACGACATCGCTTTTACAGGACGCTTTTAAGTGTGCCCGCCATATCAGGTAAAGTTGATACAAAATTGTCTTCACTCGTGAGAATATTTGTGTATGTTTGTTGGTACAAATTCATGCCAAATTAATCAGATAATTTACGATTGCGATTTTATTTACTAACATTCATTTTGCCTCCTACAAAATACATGCCATTGTCAGACTTATTTACTCACAGGGTTGAACATTAGTACATGTAGATTTACAAAATTCACAAATTCAATTTTCCGCCGGTTTACCTTACCAAATGTACCATCTAGTATTATCGTCATTGTAGTACGCATCAGGTATCGTAGGCCATCATAGGTGAATGATGCACCAATAATTCGGATATCATGTTTAACGAAGTGTAAAATTGCGAATGTTTCCACTCGGAATAAAGTCAACATAGTGTTGATATTATAACAGTAAGTAGAATTTTAATCCACCTGTGAAGCAATTCTTTTTATTGTAAAGTACAATATGGAGTACACTGTGGAAGATGAAAACTATGATAAAATAAACGTTTAACGATTTGCTCCCAAATAAATAAGCTATTAAGATCCTTGTATAACCTCCCATTTAATACCCATCTGTAAGTACATGGATAATTATAGCACTTGTAGGTCATTGGCGAGTGATATAATTAGAAATACTAATAAGGCTTAAAAATGTTAAATTTGCTGCACAGAAAAAGCGACATTTATAGCATGAACAGTACATTCCCTTGTTATTCCTCGCAGAAAATACCTGTGTGTGAGTGAGAATGAGTTTTAATAACAAATCCTCGAATTATATTCGTTTACTACATTCTACATACAACATTTATATTCATCTTCATGAGATGGGAAGATATGTTTTTTTTTTTACTCATTTTATCTGATCTCAGCTCTGGTGGCAAAATGGGTGGTTTACCGGCAACAACATCCGATGGCGTTCGTACATTGCTGGTAGTGTTATTGTTTACTCTGCTGCCTACGCCCTGCAATGCAAGTAAGATGTGTGTTCTGTCATTGTTCTCGAACTCAAATTATCACACAACAACAGAATAGGCATTGAACAGATTGAACAAGAGGATCTGTTTTATTTAATGTTTAATGGGTAAACAATTGACACTCCATAAACATTTATTGAAATATACTGTTTCTTGTTATCACAATAAGCCTGTTCCCAAATATTGACTGGGTTAGGACTCTAGATATTAGTAAATAATACAGTGTTTTTCTTCAACATAGCAGTAACACCCACAATTTTGTTCAAATGTATATTAGTAATAGTCAGTAATTTGCACACATGTTTTTTGAAATATTAACTAGTTTAAAGTCAGGCATTTTCAAGAGCTCGGTGTCAAGTTTTTGAATTTTGGAGGCTATAGGTAGTTCTATCCTATACGCTGGAGATTCCTATTCATAAGAATTAATTTTAGTATAAGTATTATTTTAAATTCTATCGTTTATTTTCGAAATATATATTTTTGTCAAAACGTAATATTGGTTTTATATTCGGGATTTATTTTTTTATTTCGATTGTTCGTATGTGTCGGATCAGATGTGGCATATGCGCCAAGTAAGTGTTCTCTGTTTTGGATGTATGGATGTTCTGATTAAAATATTCGACAACATATCATTTTTATTACAAAAAAACTTATGTTCAAATTTGAGCCAAAACGTTTTTCATTTCATCTAATTGAAAATTGACTCGGTTTTAATTTTGTTATTTTCATTTTTTTTATATATTACTATTATTATATACCACTAACAAAACATATGTTGAACGTTTTACATTTATCGAATAATACTTTGAAATACATATCTTATCAGAGTATTTCGATCGACAAAACATGTTCGGAAACAGAAAAAAACAAACAATTCCCTATACTACCGTATGTGGCGCACTTTACTGGGGAACGAAATTGCCCAAAAATGCGCGAGGTAGAGGTTTCAAACTGGCGCGCTCGATGACGAAAAGCAAAACATGAAAATCACAAGTATGAGGTTTGACCTGGGCGCGATGTGCACTAATTACCGACGATGACTCCTTCGTCACCTTCCAATCACCTACAAAAATACTGTGGAGACTGTTAGTCTGACCTAATTAGACACCCACTGCTGTTGCCACACCCACAGTTATTTCAACCAATCACATCCCGGTGTTATTATTAGTAGTTTGTTTGTTGTTTCATTGTAACTTACATGTAATCGAGTGAAGTGAATAAAGTGTTGAGTTATTGTACCGCACGGTGAACTTGTCTTCTCGATCTCTCTCCGGGTTTCTACCCACAACCGACTCAACTCACGTGCCCATGCGCACAAATACCTAATTAACAGTTGGTAACGTCCCAATTTGCACTCGTTGATTTGCGCAACAGTCAAAGTCGCCATCTTTGTTAAAATGAGACCAATATATCTCGCGCATGCGTGGTGAGACGACTACCGCCCTTTAAGACAGGTGTGACATAAGGAGTTTTCTGTAAACTATGAAATGAAAATACGTTGTTCCAGTGTGTTTATTGGTAACCAAATAGTACTGAAAATATTACTTTAAATCTGACATTATGCTGAACGTTTTCTCATAACAGTTACGAAGCTCAGACTGGATATCACAACTGGAGATCAGATCAACATAATCTTCGGTGAAGAGAATGTTCTGTCATTTGACTTAGAGTTAGAAGTTATTGGCAACCAAGTAGAAACCGGAGAAGACTTAGAATTCTTTGCGTTTTTGTCATCAGAAGAAAGTGGCAGTATAATGGATCCGACAAAAAGAACAGATAATACTCCTGTAATTTTGTCTAGCGAACAGAAGGCCATGCCCCTTAATACAAGCAGTCTGGACAATGAAGTGCTTAACACGTATTCCGATGTTGAAGTAGCTCTCAATTTCACGGGTGTTCCCGGATGTTTTGACCAAACTGGTAGTTCGTATGATTTAATATGCATTGTCGTAGATGGTACTGGTGAATTGGTTAACTTGCTCATTCCCGATACGTACTGTCTTTTCTTGGACTCGTGTAAAAGTAAGTATTAACGATATAGTAGACGAAAAAGACGGAAATGTACTGATTACATGATATATCAACAATGTGTCTTTGAACTGTGGTCACACTCTGAAGTCAACGTCAATTACATGATGATTCATGACGGTAAATAATCAAAACCTTCTGTGTATAATTACATATTTAATTACAATATTCAAACATCTAAACAGTTAATAATGGTATGTAATTTTTTTTTACTATTATGTAAAACATGTTTGATTACTTATTTCATAAAAGTGATGCATAGTACTCTTTGTTGTAATTTGGTGTAGTGATACGTGCAAGAAACACATTTGTGGATTGTCAGGATTTCATCAGTACCGTTCCAAGCGACAAGACCTGTTTTTGCCCCACGAAGTTCCACTACCCGTCAGGTGTTGATAGTTATACTTCAAAACAGAGAAGTTCCATTCAATGCATGTGTACAAAGCACAATGACATATTGACATATTAAAGGTGATTTGTACGGAAAATAAAAACAAAAATGTACTCATGTATTCATAGAGTATTTTATCGTTAATATAGGTGTGATCACTATAGCGTTGGACGGTGGACCAAGTGTCACATCTAACGCTCATGCCGGTCTTGATGTTATATATGGCACATTGAAGGATTTTACTCTGGATATTTCTGTTGAGACGGATGACGCCAACAAAACAGCCAACATGACTGCTGCATTCGAGGCCCGAGTGTTTCTTGCAGTATCTGACAACGGAACCAGTGGGATTTTTGTAACGAATGCATCTTTGGTGGATGAGTATGTTGATGTAGAACCAGATGCCATGTTTTTCTTGACCGGCTTGACTGCTACAATGGACGACCTAAGCGGTCTGAACTGCGACATACATACTCATGTCTGCGTCTTACTCGGTCCTGCGAAAGATGCGGATTGGCAGTGGGGTACAGGCACCGGTTCAGTAACAGCTTGCGCTGAGCTGAATTGCACAAGTAAGTAACGACGTTATCTGATCGCAAGTTAAGTATGGATGGACTTTAATGTCATCCTTTTATCAACAACAATGTTATAACTATGTCTAAAAAATCTAAACATGACTGTTTATATGTAATAGTCAGGAGGGGTCATATATGTATGTAGTATGTAGTAAGACGAAGAGACTTTTATATTGAATCCACAAATCTAGCAATATCATGTGGATTCAATCTTAGTCTTGTTTTGCTCAGCCACGTGTCATATATACAATAGATGCCTCAACATTATATTATATATTATTATTATTATATGTTATTACAGTATTGTAGACCGTTGTTATATACAACAAAAAGTTCACAAAAACAATGTAAAGGAAAGTGTAAACTAGAATAATTAATTGATTCTCTATTTTGCATCGATCATCACGTGTCCAATGTAATGTATGTTACGGTTCATATGACTACAGCATGTTAAAATTGAGGCTATATCACACGACGTATCTAAAAAAATCAAATGCAAATGTTATAGCATTATTGTTATTCATACTATAATATGCAAGCCTAAAAATGTTACCAGACATTCAAAGTTGATCATCTCAAAACGTTAATATATAGAATATACTAACAAATGAAAGAGCGTCAGCTACTCACGAAAAAGAGCAACGTATTAAATAGACTTCTCTAAGAAATTGCTGAAAATTTAATAGCACATAAAAACCAATATTCACCATGATAATTATCATGTATATTATCCTTCATATTGACCACGTCTAGTCTAAATGTGTGTCGCATTGATCAAATAAATACAAGATATTACATCGAATGGTTGGCCGGGCTGCGATGGACTACTCAGCAACTGACAAACAATCTTAAAACCATTGCATTCTATTACAGAACGCTTAAAATTTTAGCATTATATGTCATGTAATCTAGTAAATGTTTTTCTTTATCTTCGCATATCTCATGGTTGTTCAGTGCAGTGTAATAATGTTAGATATTTCGATACTATGTATTAGCAATCACAGTAAATATTTGCTCAAAAAATCAAGTTGATTTTTTTTATATCGCAATTAACAATGTCATGATACGCCAAAATCCCATAACACTGATGGTTTTACACGATACAGTAACTTTTGACAGATTTCTGATAGTTTCAAATATCAAACCAAATGTCCTGTATTATAAAGCCGCATATACGTGGTACACCAGTTCTAAATGTCAATCCTCGCCCCCCCACAGAAATGTTTGCAATTCGCATGCATTTTTCGAAGGCTATATATGAATTTACTCAAAAATTAATAATTGTATTAATGCTTCCTCGAGACCGTATATGTAAATTGATGTCTCTACTAGCATGAGGGCGTCAGATGGTCGTGATAGCGCATAGCGATGGCGTGTTGTATTGTTTTTTCTACTTAGTAGACTTGTCTAATTATTAAGAATAAATATTGTTTTCTTTTCTATAGGTGAAATCGAAGCAGACCCTCCTCCTACGATGGTAAGCCACGTGGGCGGCAATCTTGATATTGTTATGGGAATTATCCCGGAATCGTTTAATTTGAACATCAGCATAACGACGGGCCATGCCACGGCACAGATATACGGAGACGTGGCTGATCTGTTTAGCGTTGATATCTATCTAGCGAATACAGAAAACGGGACAGGGGCCACTGCAGTAAAGACAGAGGGTGATGTAACCCCGGGTAATATCACCGTCAGTCCCGATGTCGACAGTGGAATCAACCTCACAGTCATCAACGTTAGAGGAGACGTCTACACATTTGACTTAAATTGTGACGACTATAGCTATGTCTGTGTTGACATTAATTCACGGGATACTGAAAAGTGGACGTGGTCTGGCGCCGATACTGATGCAAAAGTAGCTTGTACGGAAATTGACACATGCGAAGGTAAAATATGTACAGTTATCTAGGACCCATGAATGTTAATGATGACTCCTATACAATTTGATGAGTAGACAATGTGCGATTTTGAGTGTCACGTGATATTTTGCCTAAGTAAAATCCGCCGTCTTATTATCTTGTTTTGTTATAATCACTAAAATAGTCATCAAAATAAATATGCACCATATGACGGCTGGTACTTTCAGGGACACGTTGGCTGTCAATGAGAACGTCCTGATAAATTCTCCCCCAAAATAGAAGCAGTTGTCATCGGACTTCTAAATAAAGATATTAGATTCAAAGGAAATTAACTAATGTCTACACACTGCAACAACGCACACATCAAACAAATTACAGACACGTGTTGTTGTAGTGGGTATGGTATGCGTTTGTTTCTTACAAATCCCGAAAAGTATTTATGTTCTGCGAATTGTCACATTTGCAACAACCTTGTTCCTAATATTTCCATGTGTATGTTTCTAACTGATCTGACTATGTTGCGTGTATACTTTTTTTCTTTATGTGATTTGTGTTATCGATTGTTAGCACTCGTTTGTTTTGTGTTATTGGACTTATAAATTGTCCTTATGTTATTTTATAATTATATATAGTAAACACATTTCACATATTTTGTATTTTAGCTAATATTACCGCCGATGTTTCTGTTACTACGAATGGAGGAGGAAATTTGGACATTGTTATGGGAAGATTCGTAGAATTCGTTCTAGATATTGAAATAGACGTTGATGATCCGAGTGCTGTAGTAGATGCTCATGGCATAGATATGTTTAGTATACTTATCTATTTGGGTGATAACATTACACAAAGCACTGCTGTCAATGCTACGAATATTTCAACAGACCATGTCATCCTCTCTGCAGACGTCGGTGCTACTGTCCTGAGTGGCATTCAGGGTGTCATTAACACGGATGGTTTATCGTGTGAAAACTTTGACTATGTTTGTGTAGACATTGGCCCTAAGACAACATATCCGTCTGAACCATGGAACTGGAGTGATGGGTCACTAATGAAAACTGCGTGTATACAGTTTGACAGTTGCGTGGGTATGTATATGTACAAGCAAAATAAATAAATAAATAACGAACAAACGAAAGAACAAACAAATGAATACGAACAAACACACTAACAACTGACCGACCGATCGAACAACAATATAACCAACCAACCAACAAACGGCCAAATAATCAAATATTGAAAGAAAGACCCGACGAACGAACGAACAATTAATCAATTAAATGAATTAACTATTTTTAAATATTTAAAAATATTTGTGCGAAGAATAATTATTTAATTTAACAATGAATATAGTTCAATTGTTTTCTTGCAGTACAAGTGACTAATAACACAATCTATCTGAGAAGCAGCGTTGTCAGCGACCTCAACATTATCATGGGTACCACAGACAAAGTGTTCAGCCTCGAAATGTCAATACGTACCGACATTGCTACTGGTGAAATCACGGACTCGGCGGATAATTTGTTTGAAGTCGACATATACCTCTCCCACGACCAGTTTGGGGCAAATTCTACAATAAAATACCCAACTACAATAACACCAGTCGAAGTTACAATTGATACTACTTCGACGACCCGAGATATTACTGTAACTAAAACCGGATTTGACCTTACCGGGTTGAACTGTGACACATACATTTACATTTGTATTGACGTTTCGCCGAGGGCTGGATCAAAATGGTCATGGACATATAATCCCGGCACGGCTCAGACAGCATGTGTACCGTTAGGAGTGTGCACAAGTGAGTATACCTACTCGTTGCTGTGTTTTCATGCAGCCAATAATCGTACCGCATTTTGATGAAAAAT